GGAATAGATGATTTTGCTGTGCTTAATAAGATATAGGAATGAAAAGTAATACATGTAAAAGTGAGTAATTTTGATATATATAAAAATATATTTAATTATTATACTTTTTATTTTAATTTTCTTGCTAGCGGTATCAACAATACTAATTGGAAAAATGTACATTCTATACGAACTAGTGGTCATTGTTGCTTGTAGCCCATTGTTGTAACGCTGCACTGATAACAAGGGACGATAATTACTGCTGCCTTTTCGTTTGTGTTAGTAGTAACTAATAATTTTATTTACAGTTGAAATACGCATCGTGCATCGTTGGTACATTTATGTAGAACGTGAATGTATTGAATTCAATGGTAGAAAGCTGTTTTCGTTTAAGCATTTGAATTGAAAAAACATATTTTTCACTCTTCGTTTCTTTAAGAAATTTCCAAATTAATTTAAAAAAGTGTAAGGTAGAAATTGTCATATTATAATATTACATAGCCATTACCAATACACCAATATACGAAAATGGTGCTTAACCCATTTTCAGCAAACTCTGTATTTGCGAAAACTGCGAAAAGTTGACATTTCAAGACTACAAATTGAAGAGTTTTACCCGAGTCTGTTCCAACAATCAGCAACAATCTTTTCTTGAAATTTGGCTTTGAAATTAAGGCATTTTATAAAAAAAACATCTCTAAATTGTTCTTCAATTTTTCCACTGATATAAGGGACGCTTAAAAGAATGGCGTGGGCCTCATTTTTGTTCAACATCATGGACTTGCTAATTTTCGTAAATTTTGCAAATTTAGAAATAATTAGAGAAAGTATGTGCTGTTGTAGCGACACTAGTTTCATTCTTTTTCCAACACACTTCCTTTGACTAGTTACCGCCCAGTATGTGCCTCTGCCAAGGTCGTTTACAGCTATCCCGCGCACTGTTCTTAATCGACGCGAGTGCCCTTCGCCCTCAACAACTTGATCACGCACGCGCATTTACGCGGAAATAAACATTGCGCTTGGGTCATAAGTCTTGGAATTGATGAGCTAATCTTACAAAGTGACTCAGCGCCGAAGCTGAATCTCTTAGATAATTAAAAAAGGCTTCGTTCGAACATATTTTAATACACTTTCACTGATTGTTAGAGTCATGCCGGGGAATAGAAAACATTCTAAAAATATAGTAAGTCACTACACAATTAAGCTTTAAAGTTGCAAAAAAGGAAAAGAGTCAAGTGGCAAAGGTTTTTTCTTTAAAGTGAAAATACATGTTTTTCATGATTCATTGATAAAATACAAAATTATATTAAAGACAATGTGAAAAGAAAGAGAGGCCGAGACTTTTTTTTTCGCAACTTCGATTTTATTTTGATAAATTGGAATTTATCAATAAAAACTACACTTATTAGGCTAGTATTTTTTTATTTGTGAATGTTTTTGACTGTCGAACTTTTAGAGCCGGTTACGCCGTAGAGAATGTCAAAATGAATAATATTCAGTGTTTTATTTACACCAATGAATGCAAAAAATAAATTACCGCTTGAGCTTGCGAATAGTCTGTTATTTCCAACTACATCAGTTTTAGTAGTTTTAAAATTATGTATTTAAATATCACCATATTCAGAAATAACATTTTCCCTCGTTTGCTTGCACATAATACATTTGATCATTCAGAATATGTCACCTCAATTAAATTCAAGATTTAATAACAACGCGAATCTCGAGTCACTTTCATTGCCGGTTTTTAGAATTCAGTACTCATATTTAAGTTGTTCATTTATTTTCTATTTTTTATTTTGAAATTCAGAACAACACTAGCGTTATTTTGCCCTATAATTTTCTATAACATTAATAGGTTTTTGTCTTGATATGGCGCAATTGTATTATGCGTTACCAAACAGGGACCTTGTGTGTACGTTCTTACCGTAATGCCGTTATTTCGAGCTACTGTGATGGTTACTATACATCAAACCCTACATTGTGCAAATAATTCATTTACTTACGTAATTTACCATACAAACGTAAAAAAATTAGCGAGCCGATGTCGGTTAATGTCGTAATAAATGTGCCGTTAAGTTAAAAAAAAATCACGCATGATAAATTTAAAAACGTAGCTAAATTTATAATTAAAAAGTGACTTAAATTTCATTGCGTGGTCGTCGTTGAACTACTAGTGAAGATAATCAATGATGGTTCAATATGCATCAACAATATATTATCTTTGAGATGGCTAAATGACAAGCGAGTACCCTTCGTGTTTCGACACCCATTCCTCTTCTTATTCAATAATTTCTGCCCATGCGTTACCTTCCCCACGATTCCGTCTAACGTTTCACCTTTTCACCCGTTCACCTAATAATGCATAATAATAATAATAATAATAATAATAATAATAATAATAATAATAATAATAATAATAAATTAGTGTCATACAGCAGCAAATATGCCGCTTAATAGAATCACACAATATGATTTTCCAGACAAGAACACGCCCATTGCTCAGGAGCAACAACAACAAAAGCTCTCGAATAAAACTCAAAGAAATGTTTTAACAAAATCAGCCATCACCAATACTGTGATAACATAGTATAATGTATGCGATACAAGAGTCCTTAACATACCATGAATGTAAAAAAAGTTGCTATTCCACAATGTAATACGTGAATATCTAAATAGTTAAGAGCGGCGGCCTCTTTCTTGGAACCTTGCTATCGCGTGATGTCGCAGGGTCGAATACAATGACGCACTGAGTTTAAGAATTTATTCGTCCCGTGCAATTTGAAAAAAGGCGGAATAACGTAATCAAATGTTTGGATAAATGGTGAGAATTTGTTTGGGAGTGGGGCCCAATCACCATTTGTTTTTGGGAGGTGTGCAGTACTTAAATCCTGTTCTGATGTCAACAAATGTTGTCTCGCGAACCATCGATTTGTATTGTTCGCGCAGTTTTGTGAGCCCTAACCCCTATTCCTTTACTAACATTAGTTCAACAAACATAAATGATATCAACAAACGTTGATAACACAATCTGATAACCAGATATCTTTGCTCCCGTGTGATAAGAACTATTTTACGTCGAAAAACAAGTGATAGATTTGATGTACTAGCCCTGTCATCGAAATAAACAGTCCTCCCACATCTCTCGCGTCTCGAGAAATGGGGGCACAAGAAAACGTGTGAGAATAACACAGGTGCTTGTAGCCTCTACATCGTCTCAAATGACAGTCACAGGTACGTCTTCGACTTCCCGTCAAGCGCATCATTTCGCGAGAAATGATAGTATTTCTCAACAACAATCACAAACTTTTAATTACAATACTTTCAATGTAGAGTTTCACAAGTTACATGAACATCTTTAAATACCCAGAAGTTATCTCTGCTAATGTCTTTAGCAAATAAAGTATACAAAAGCATAAAACCCACAAGCGTGGAAGAGAGAAGCTCTCGATCTGATCTCCACAACTTCACGAAGCATTCTGCTTGTTTATCCAAGGTCCTCTAACGTACCCCCTTCCTAGGAAGTGATTAATAATAATAACAATAATAATAATAATAATAATAATAATAATAATACAATAATTAATAAAACAAGTATACTCCTAGTTTTGATACAATGAAAAAAATGTTGAAAGTAAATAGAACTATTATATAAATACCTAGTATATTACAAATAATACAATATAATATACTATAGATACACATACTTTCCTTCTGCCAATACTCGTGATAGTTTACTTTGTACAATATTGCCAAGGACAAATAAATTATTTATTTACATTTTAAATATTCCTTTTAAACAATATTACCAACATACATTAATTATTTAAATTATTTTAAAATTTAGTTAACGAAGATCTTTGAAACAGTGCTGAAGATGAGCTATTCTAATCTCCAGTCGTTCTATTCAGAAATAAAAACTATCCTTCATCTTCTCGTTGCGTTTTCTCCTGAATTTTATACTAGTGGTAATTTTTGCCGATGCCTTTTCTAGCCCATTCCTAGCCTTTTTCTAGCCTTCTTGCTTTGCCTTTCCCAAATACGTTCTATACATTGCCAGCAGTCTCACTTTGCCTTTTACTTTCTCGCTACCGCGTACGAAGTAGAAAGAAAGTTACGAAATGATGCGCAAAAAAAACCTGCGAATTTTCGACAGAAAAACTCTTATTGCAGAGCCCTTAAAGAAAAAGTCTATAAAGCTAGTTTTTAAATTTAGAAGAAAAAAACCTAATGTCGCCAGAACCCATATTTTATGGGTCCTTGATACCGAAAAATCGAATGACGGCAAAACGTTATTTCCGTCTGCGACCATTGCCAGTGGCTAAATCGTTCAGCCGATTTTGTCCAAAATTGACATTTCACAATCGATTTGGGTGATATAGCTGGTCCCTGAATTAAAAACCGATATTTAAATTTTGGGGGGTACTTCACATTAAACCTCTGTGACAATTTCAAAGCTTTTAAAACATGTCTCCATCATTTTTGATTTCATTTTGTTGTTGAATAGCGTAATGGACGTTTAAGACAAAAGCGCAGGTTTCATGTATGTTTAAAATTCATTTCATTTTTCGGAAATGGCAAAAATTCAAAGGTTTTTCTACCTCTTCCTACAACTACAATTATGAAGCTAGAGATTTTTTCCCTTAATGAAAACTATCCCTTGAAAGGAGATTTTGAAATAACATGTACAATTTTTCGAAAATGAAACAGCGTTTTTCGAAAATTTGAATACTTTTTGCGAAATTTTGCGTGAAATTACGGACAAGAAAGTACGCGCTGTTTTAATACCACTAGTTCTCTATTGTTTCCCACCCATGAGTATATTTGATGTTTATGTTTTTAATTTCGTGTTTTGATGACCCAAATGCCAACGAGAGTTCCTCGTCACTGCCCTGAGGAAGCCTGCGACATGTCAGGCGAAACGTCGGCACCCCAGCCAACAACGCGGCGTGTCCCGGATGGCCGAGAATTTAACGAGAGTTCCCCTCTGCGGCAGGAGTGCGGGTGCCCGGTGACGCTGGCGGCGGCGCCCGTGCTGGGCCCGTCGCTGGCGCCCACGTGCGGCGCCGGGCTGCTGGCGTTCATGGCGCTGCTGGACACGGTGCTGCGCCAGCAGTGCTTCCTCGACGACCCCTGCGGCCGCGTGCCGCCGCTCGCCGCCGCCCCCGACGCCAGCGCCTTCGACTTCGTGGTGGTGGGCGGCGGCTCGGCCGGCTCCGCGCTCGCCGCGCGCCTCTCCGAGGTGAGCACTTTCGGCCCGTCTGGGCTCTTCGGGCCTTTACACTCCTACGTAATTATTTTAAAGAATTAATTACCAGGTTACTCCACTTACCAGATTACTCAACTTTAGACAAATACACAGTATCACTTCTCAACCTCATAATATTTACCGCTCCACTTCACAACGCACCTATTCTTTGCAAGCACGGTATTAATATTATATTACATATTTTAGATTTTAATAGTAATTAAATAAAATAATATTAGCAGGTAACTTAATCATCTGTTCTCATTCTGTTTATAAAAGGATGATTTATAACATCTGTTCTCTGTGACCTCGTTTCAATTTGTGCTTGTTATACACTGTACTGGAGACTTTTTTACTTTCCCATATATATATATAATTAATATATATTAGATATATATATTATATTATATATATATATGCGTAGAAATATACGTAGTACTGAGAAATATACGTAGTATAGAGGAAGTAATGATGCGTAAAATCGATTTCGAGATTTCAACCTAAATACACGTATCGTGTCCCGTGATACCAAAAATGTTTGGTTTTTTTCAAAACGTCCATTCGTCCGTCAGTTCTTCTGTCTGTCTGTCTGTCCGTCAGTGTATCTGTCTGTTTGTCTGGTGCATGTGAACAACACTAGCACCTAAGCTATGCATGCGATTTTTTCCAAAGTGAATAAACCCCTGTCGATCTTGTCTGAGTCAAAGGTCTGCGATTTTGAAAAGCATTCATTAATTTTCATGAAGTCCCTTGGACATTTTCAAAACTTTATCAAAAACGGCTCAAATTTTTTTCTTTAAACTTCTTGTAATGATAAATTAAAATACTCTTATAAAGGCGGTAGAGGTCATATTTTCACGGCTAACTCTGACTTTTCGAAAATTTCAAAATTTCAACATTTTTCTGGCGTCTTCCTACAACTACAAAATCGAGCATTGATATTGAAAATTTTAGTAGTAGTAAATATTGCAAGCAACATATGCAATTTTTTTTAAAAAATACAAAAATGTGATTTTCTCAAAAACGGCTTCAACATTTTAAAAAATTGATACGGATATTATTATCATATTTATGAGTATATGTGCTTCAAATAATGTCATTTAATTTTCTCGAAAACTCAATCGTTTTATCTGAAAACTAGCTGCAAATTCCGCATTTTTAGAAACGCTCAAACGCCAATTTTTCAAAAAAATCCAATTTTTTTCATACTTTTGGAACACATAGGGCTTATTGCGCTCTAAAATATGACGTAAAGTCCATTTTGGGGTATTCTTTATTATTTTTTTAAATACATACATGTATTTTTTAAAGATCTCTCACCCCCTTACTATACACATTTCCAGCAATTTGTAAACATTGTATTTTTGAATTAAAGAGAATTAAAATTAATGACTTCTAATGAAGATTTTCAATCACTCAAAAATTTTCTGATAAAATGTGCTTCAAATTTCCTATTTACAGTTACGCTTAAACGCTATTTTCTTAAAAACGGCTCCAAATTTTTCAAAGTAAATTGCGATATGGACAAGGCTTTACTATTATTTAATATTCTCAAAATAATATTTTCCTTCTACTATTAGGAAACCGAAAAATTATGAAAATTTCAGAAAAGATGTCCTTTGGCCGGCGGTAGATGGCAGCTGGCAAGAGTATATGGCAAGTTCGAGTTATCTAAGACCAAAGGAAATAGAAAACTAATACAGGAAAGTCTGTGCCATTCTCTAGCACCACTAGATCTAGATTGTTCTTAATTTTGGTCCAAATCATTAATAAGTGTTTTGTCCATCCTTGTGCCTTGCCCTTTATACTAAAACATTCAGTAGAAATGTCACGGCATGAAATAATCATTTTTATTGATAAACCACGTACTCAAGATTGTTTACTCACCAAACCTGCGCGGATTTTCCAAAAAGTGGAAGTAGAAATAGGAAGTGGCAGTAATGGCAGATGGAACACGGGAAGCACAGTTTGCCACTCAAGTTTGAATTCAGAAATGTTTGGATCAAATTCGAGATACCAACGTATGTTTTATAGATTTAAAAATGTATTTAATAATGTGTAATATGACACGTTTGAATTTGGAGATTTCCATTAAAAACTATGTAAGTGTATGTGTAAAGACAAGAATAATGGAAAAGTAATACAAAAATGAGACATGTCACAAGTGAATAAAAGTGGTATCCAGAAACTTATAATAAACAATCAATACTGAATGTACTTATGATCAGTGTAATAGTAAGAAACCTGTTTAAGAGTTTTTCTATTAATTCATTAGTTTAATAAGTTATCTATGTAAGGTCCTGCTCGATATGGATGCACGGGATTTCAACTTATTGACTAAAAACCTTTCGCGGACCAGAATAAATGGCATTGCGCGGTCGCAAGCGCGGCCCCTGGGTGCAGTTGGACAAAACATGCTCTAGAATGGTATACACGTATATTATTATTATTATTATTATTATTATTATTAATATTATTATGTTATTACTAGCGGACCCCGACAGACCTTTCGTCCTGTCCAAGATTTGTAAATGTTCACAGTTTTTTGTTCCTTAATTTTTGTATAGTCTGGTAAAAATCTCTGAACGAGAACCGTCACCCTGGTTGATAAGGGCGTTGTGAATTAAGAAATATAATTAAATAAAACATATATAAGCATTTAAAAGTAAGTAATCGCTTTAATTGTTAATTCATGTGAATCATAATTATTAGAACAAAAATCAGTGTTTTATTTTCATTGTAGTGCTTTGTGATATATCAATGTTTTTGTTTTGATTAGCCGGGCGCATAAGACAAACAAATCTGAATGGTCTTCCAACACGGGAACAGGCACATACAATTGCCGCATGTGAGAAACATGGGTTTTCCAGATTAATACCACAAAACACTTAATGATTGCCCCTGGCGACTTTGTTATGGTCATACAAAAGGCAAGCCGAACTGGAAGCTGTAGTCTGGTTTAAAGTTAAAACGGCACATCAGTCGGAATCATTGGGATGCGCGTATGAAAACAGTCTTCTCCTTTATACTTTCCTTTCAAGTATAGTTGCTTTCTATCAACACGTTGTTTAGTAATATTTATTGCGCTAACTGTGTGCCGTTGCAAAGACGTGGTTGGTTGATATTTCGCAACATTTATTAACTTCCATCCAACCCTTTAATTTGAAAGATTGTGAGGTTGGCAATCCTGTAAATCCAGCGAGTTTTAAAAATTCTGGTGGATTAGTTCACTACATCATCTTGCGTTAGTAGCCAAATCAACTGATTTAGATATCCTCGATTCGCCTGCTAATTTGTTCTTGAAATTTTTTAAATTTAATTCTTTACATCAATGTTTTTGCAGCCAATATAGTGCTCGTTTGCTCCCACCAATTCATGGTTTCTGTAATTTTTGAGAAACCATCTGGAAACACTTCTTGAATAAGTTCATCTTTTGATCAAGTTAACTGACAAAACTTTGAAGGAAAGTTAATGCAGGCCAGTCAACATGGTCTATAGGAAATTTTGGCCCATTACCAATGTCAATGAGTTGTTTAGAGAATTGTTTCCATATTGGTCATTTTTGGCAAACTCGGAACCCCCCAAACCCCGGGCCGGGGGATTATTTTTCTTATTTTAAATAAAGTACTCTGACTGTTTCCACAAATTGGAGACTTTAGACATGCATAGAGTTCATCCTTTTGATCGTGGATTCACTGGCAAGTTTGACGAAAAGTCTCTGCTAATTAAAATCATGCACCACAAATTGGTTATATTGCTCCGTAGATCTTTTAAGGTTCTGTTCTAAAGCCTCCAAAGATTTTTTATGTGCCATTGTGCATCATCCCAAACAATTAATTTACATTGCTGCCAAGACCTTGCCATTGCAAGCTTCTCGAATGTTGCAGGTCGGAGTTTCATTGATTTGCATATTTAAATGGCAATATTTAATGCTGAATGTGCTGTTCGCTCCACCTTCAAGCAAAAGTTGCGCGATTCCCGACGAAGCGACGTGAAAAGTGCAATTTTTATTTTGTGAGCGAACTTGCTAATATTAATGAAATCAAAAAAGTTTTCCTGTAAGCCACCAGGTGCATCTCAGAGTTAAATCCTCCAGTTTCAATCATTTGTTACTTTCATAAGAGTATCAAATACATAACTTCTGTTGTTCATCACAAGTGGAAGATTTGTTGAATTAATTCTTTCAAAGTGTTGAAGATCATTACAGTTTTTCATCGATTCAACTCTTGGTTAAAAAGCATCAGCATTGGACGATTGGGCGCGGCGTCAGGCCTAATTAAATAATAAGTTTGTTTGACATCATCAAGCACATGTTCCTGCAATTGAAATCAATGCTTCATTGTAATTTCTTCACTGAATTTGTATATTTGGATTCCCATTCTATTTCGTATTTGATATCAAAATATCATCACACATTATAATCTTTGTACTTGATCACAAATCCAATGGGTTTGATGGGAAAGCAGTTAAGATATGATTATAGAAAACAATGTTCGTTATTGATGATGTGTTTGATGATAATAGCAGCATCATTGAGACGTTTGATCCCAATGAGCTCATTTTCTAGCAATCTGCAAACGTTGACAGGCTTTCTTGTAAGATTCCACAACAATTTCCAAACATTTTTCAAAAAATACAGGGTTGGTGTTGGGATTTGGGATGGGAATTTGATGGGGGGATGTTGGAATGATGTTGGGCCACGTACATTGGACTAATAGCAGTTCGTAAAATAAAATATTCATCACTTGCTTGGATGTGATGAATACAATTCGACAAATGACATCGGTGGACACATCTGGGTATCCTGAACTTGTTTTCCCTTGTTCCTCGTATAAATCTGGTGAGGATTGATTCCAAGTATAATATTTTGGCATTTCAGAATATAGCAATGTTTGGCAAAGTCATCGTTTTGACGTCTCAAAAACTGGTTAAGTAGTAGATGGTGGCTGAGCAAACTCTTTGTACTGCGTTCTGTGCTGTAAATACACTCTTTG